AGCAACAGAGGTGGAGCAGAAGCACTCATCACTCACCATCAGAGATCCTCAGCTAGGTAAACCAGTTAGCTTGGATACAGGTAGCCATCTAGCTAGGGTAGCACAAAGTTTGGTGTGGGCTAGTTTACCCTTAATGAGAAGCACTTCTGTGGCTGCAGTATTAATGTGCCCATAGTGTCTGTGTAGCATGCATACATGCTCTAGAGGGCAGCATTTGATTCAGTTTGGTCTCTAAAAACAAGAGCACTGGGAAGGCAGCATGGTTGTCAGCTATGCCTTTGCACACACATATAGCACACAGGACAGGACTTCTTGCCTTCTCAAGCCACTCTTTTCCACCTCCCTGTATATGATATGTTAGTCTTGTCTTAAAATAGGGACCTTACTGTGTGGCATTGCTTGTGGTGTGTAGGCACAGTCACCAGTAAACAAACCATTGATGAAACCTCACTTCTTCATTACGTCCATTGACTGGCCAACTCCCGTACAAAGTAAACTGAGGTAGTACCATATGGGCCAAGTGTCATTTGTGCCAAGTGCAAAATGCTCAGCTGGTGTAAGCCAAAGTGTATGAGTCCTGGGGGTATTTCTTCAGTCTGGACTTCAGTCTCCTCAAGTGATAATTCAGGTGGCAAAAAAATTTCTCTCATGGCCTCACTCAGCCAACCCTGGAGTTTTGTTATACAAATATCTTGGAGCTATGCACAGTGGCACTGAGGCTACAGAATGGATTCAATCCTCCATGCTGGCTTCAGAGCCACGTGCTGGGCCAGACAAAACATACAGCTCCAGAGCCAGCACGCAGTCCCAGACTCCAGTTACAGGCCAGACCTCTATACCAGCCTGATCCAGCAGGTTGTTGGGGAGTGGGGCTTCCAGTGGGCCCAGACCTTTGGCAGTGGGAGTGGTGGGGATGAGCTGCTCCCTCCTGCCAAATGGCCAGAACCACATGGAGCCTTTTCCTTGTGTAACCCAGGCAGTACTCCAAGACGTACCCCCTCTTCAATTTAAGGGATCAGGGCAAGTGCACAAGCGCTATGGGAGGTGTAGAGACCCTCCTCCCCCTATAGAGCAGAGCCAAACCACCAATGGGGACTTAACCATAGACCTTTTAATGAGAGAACAGTACTGGGAACATAACCAGTATAAGCCAGCGGGCATGGGGGACACTACAATGCCCTGAGGGGACAGGATTCAATAAAGGTTAAACACTTACAATCATAGACATATTCATCCAGTTGACAAAAGACAGGGTTAACAAAATATAAAACACAAACAGCAAAACGAACAATACTGGTTGGTGAAATATAAAAGGCACAAAATACAAAACGTCAAATAACAAGAAATATAGGGCCTAGGTACCCGGGAAGGGGGGGGGAGGGGCAGGAGGGGAAACACAATGACCCCTTTCCACTGCAATAAGAATTTCTTGCTGTCACTTTACTCACCCCAGTTCAGCCCAACTGGGACTTGAACTCATATTTCCCACAGAGTGGGCAGAAACTCTACCATACAGGCACCAGTGCTGGCACTGCTCCAAGCTGCTAGGGATCTTGATCTTCCCAGAGCCCCGGCCTCACATTGAGCTGCCTGGTCTCTGACTGGAGGAGCTGGAAGCCGAGCTGGGACCCTCTCAGGTCACTGCTCAGATCCTTGCTGGAGCAGAGGAGCCTCTCCTGCTGGCTGCAGCTGCTTGTAGGGGATCCTAAAGCCCAGGGGGGAGCCTCTCCTGCCGACCGCACACCGCCCTGCTGAGGGTCCAACTGCTGCCTGCAGGTCCCACTCCTTCAGGCTCTTCTGATGCAACTGCTCCTGCCCTGCTGGCCCAGCTCTTTGAAACTCCTTCCTTGTGGTCCCTCACTGGTCTCTCCTGAGTGAGCCATGCTGCCCCTTTTATCTCCCTCCAGGTGACCCAAGGGGCTAATCAGGGGACATGGAGGGTGAGTCTCTGGGGCCTGATTGTTGAGGAAAGTCCTCCAATCATCTTTTACCCTTTCAAAACCCCTGGGCTAAATCACTACCAGCTAGCCCATCACGTTTGCATATAATATGCATCCCAATTTTCCCCAGCTGGTTTTGGAGGAAAAGATTTAGGTTATATGTGAGAAAATATGGTATTTGTTTGACTATGGTACATTTATGGCCTTAATGGGGCAGCTGTAGGGTGTGGCGGGGCTCTTACATCTAGGGGCTACAAAGCTTATAGAACATACATGTAGAAAATCTGGCCTGCCAAGGGATTTTGTCTGGCCTATGGCAGGTCCCTCGATCCCGCTGCCCCTGGGTGCACAGCAAGACTGGGGTGGCACGGTGGCTGGACTCACTTCCCAGCAGCCCCAGTGATGGCAGCTCCTTCCGGCTGCCACTGCAGCCAAACCTGGTCCCGCTGCCCAGCACCCTGGCATATCTGCCCTGCAATCATCACTGGCAGCTGGACCCCCACAGGCAGGACGCACGCTGGCAGGCAGAGAGTGGTGTCTGGGAGCAGGACAGGCTCATGGAGTGGTGACAGCGTAGGGCTGGGGCCCAGGGCACATCCGCAATCTGCATCCCACACACCTCTGCCCATGAAACTGCTACCTGTCGCAGGGGTGCGTGCAGAGTAGATTGTGGTTCTGCCCTGGGTCCCAGTCCCATGCTATCATGATCCCACAATCTCAGCCCAGGCCCCATCTCAGCCACACACAGAGCAGAGCTACTTAAGGCGTTTTGGTGAGCTGTTGGGGTGGGGGATGCTGACTCAGCCCATGGCAGCTCACCAAAACTCTCTAAGTGGCCCTTGGGCCCAAATAATTGCTACCTGCCCTCGCCAATTTAACTGCTTTAATCTGTTAAAGAAAGAATGGAAAGAGTTGAGGGAGGTAAGGGTAAAGACACACTCTTACCTGATTGATTGGGCTGGCTCCCCTCACTGCCTCACTGGGCACAGGACCCACTCATCTTGTCTTAAAGGTGAGAAAGAGGCTTCAGGGTCAAGGTGCAAACCTCAAGCAGCAGAGCAACCCCACAGTAGAAGACTAAGTGACTCCAGGCACCATCCCAGGCCACAGCAACCCATCTCCCGGCCGCACAGCCCCATTGGGTTGAAGCAGATCAGCAGCCCCAGGCTCCAGGAAAGGGCTGCCATGCCTCCCTGTTCACAACAACTGCCCACATCAAAATCTGCAAGCTCAACCCCATGTGGGGTGCCTGTAAACATGAGGGGAGGCTGCTCCTACATGTTGTAACTACAGCGTGTCAGAGCAGACTCGATTAATCAAGTCTTCTGGAGTGTGCTTATTACCGCACTCCAGCCAGCCTCCGTGTCTTGTGTATCGGCATCCCTGCACTTCAAAATGGTGGTGGGGGTACTTTAACTAAGAGCTTTAGTTAAAGCACCCCCGCCACCATTTTGAAGCGTGGGGACACTGATACATGAGGTGCTGCGGTACTTTAACTCAAGCGACTCTCAGAGCTGTTCTAATTAAAGCGCCCTTCCCTCCCCCCCAGGAGCACATGTAAAAACAACCACAGTCTGCTGGGCAGCTGCCCCCCCAACACACACACCCTCTCGCTCTCCTAAGTGCTCACTCATTCTCTCCAACTCAACTCCTCCCCTTGCTGGGAGAACAAGTATGCAGGCTCTGACAGATTGCAGGCATTTTCTATGCTCTATTTTTAATAAGAATCTCTCCTCTTTGAGGAGAGAAAAGGTGCTTAAACTAGTCTTAGTTATGGGCTGGCACACTCAAGAAGAGCACGAGATCCTTTATCCACCCAGTCTCCCCTGGGAACTTGACTGTTAAAACTAAGCAGATATTATGTCCCTTCTGCTAAAGGAAAATCTACTGTGACAAGGTCAGAGGTAAAAAAGTTGCATAACCTGGTTGAAAGTGGTGTTTAGTAACTGAGAGCAGTGCGAACTATAATTAATTAACCCAGTAGTGAAGACTTAATCCTGTTAAGCAACCACATTCTTTATACTGCTGAGGGAATCTTACGTTACCTCTCAAGATGCCTGACCTTGCACCAGCACCCTCAAGCACCCTGCAGCGCTTGGGCAGACTGCCTCCTAAACTGAAGTGTAGCAGGCATGATGCTCAAGAAAATATGAGAGACAAGGTAGGATTTTAGGAATATCTTTTATTGGACCAACTATATTTCTTCCAAATATAAAGTTGGTCCAATAAAACATATCACCCAAAAAATTCCTGTTTCCTCTAAACAGGAAGCAATGTAGTCATGGCCCTACAGGTAGGTTAATTAGTTTAAGGGCAAGCTAATTGGCACTGATACCCACCCATTGTGTTATAGACACTGCTTCGGGTTTAAGGGCAGCCCATTTGGAGCAAAGTATGATGCTTGAAGGGGCTGCTGCTGGGCACGGTAACTTCATGATTATAGACACAGCCTTATTTTGCTTTGGCTACTTACATCTCTCAGTGCTTTTATGCAGCTGAATTCCAGCCTTATCCTTACCATCAATCATACCTTCAATACCTCCCCTATTTGCTGAGGAGAGGGAAGCATGGAGCTGACTTACACTAATGCAAGAGGCATCAAACCCAGTGCTCCATTTTTTTTGTGGTATGAGCCCAGCAGCAAAGGAACCACAGCAAGGACAAGGATCTCGTATGCCACAATGAGTCCTCAAGTTTTTGTTCTCATCTCCATTGCTCTAGGTAAGGTGGACAATAACTTGGCTATAATATGCTCCATTGCTTTGCTATCCACACATCTCAAGTTTGCCACACAATCCAGGATTTTTTTTCTCTAGATCAAAAATCTAAAACATCTTCTGTACTGAAGCTTCTTTCATCAAAGATGCAGGAGACTTGATACAGGATATTACACAGCTGCTTCTTCCACAAAGCCTTTCACTGTGCAATAGCACACAGGTAGAAACAAGTCTTGCCTATAACATCAGACACATGAGGTAGGCAGAGCAATGGTTAAATGCCAAAAGAACAACCAACTAAAATTGTACATTTTCTTAAGAAGTGGCTAGGACTCCACAGCACTTTATAGTTTTGATTTGTATTTATTTCCAAAGTTAAAATGTGTTTTACAGTTTGAAGTTAATACTTTTAGAAAATCATTTAATGCTGTCTGATTAGCCCATTTATTCAGTGAAGCTCCCTGAGCTACTTTAGTGCAAATCAGATAACTAATTTTTCCATCAGTTAAACAAAGTTAGACATTTCTATTAAAATATTTAAATGCCCTCAGCTTCCAGAAAGGCCACATTTAAGTACTGTAAATTTAATGCATTTACATTTCATTCAGTTCTTTAGGCTCAAAAGCATGAGCTTTTTAGGATTAAGCTAAAATCAACCCAAAATGCTTTCTTTACAGAGTATAAATCAGAGTTGAACTTCTTGACATTTCTTTCAAAAGCAAGAGTATGGATGTAACATTTTTACTTGAAAACATAACTGACTTCCCAAATGATTACAGTCAATAACAATAACATAGTTAAATATAACATGACTAGCACAGCATTACTTATAATATGTCATGCTAGGATAATTTAAACATTTACCTATGGCAAGGAGCAATTATACAGCTCTCTTTATTCCACTTTCTGACACAGGAAAGAACAACTTCCCTTGAACACACTTAACTAATTTATTTTACCTGTCAGCTCATTGTCTTTGCTCAACAACACTGAATATTGCAAAAGTTCTCAGCCTTGAATATTTTAAGGTCCTGTGATACGTACTATAATTTCTTCAACCAACTGGATTATTTTGATGCATCTATATATAAAAAACAAACCAAATAAAAGCCCAAAACAACACATGCTTGTTATTCCACTCCCAGCCACCAGTCACTGCAATGAACATAACAATCCAGTTACAACGTTACATTTCTACGGTGACTGATAGTGGGACTTGTATGCATTATTGTCAGAGATACTGCTGAGGATAAACTAATGTTCGTATTATTCTGGACACACTCCTCCCCTTCCCCCTCAAGTCTGGTAAATGGTTAAATTAATCAGTTATAAGAGCCTGATTTATCAGTTTATTACGGTGTCAGCTAGGAACATTAAAAAAAAAAATCTCAATTTAATATCCACACAAAAAAGTAAAGAACCGAAACTCCAAAGCAGTCTACCTGCTTCATGCTTTGTTGACTCATTCCTTGGCTACTTCAAATTTCTTCCACTCTCTACCAACCTGTAATAAAGTAGCAAGAGATAAAACTATTTCAAAAGCTGTTTTGTTTCATTTTCAAGATATTGGAATTCATGTGTAAATTAAAAATGTATGCTACCCCAGAAGGAAGCATACAGCTATCATCCTCCAGCTTGTCCTTCTGCTACTTCAAGATTCTACAGATTAGAATGTATATAAAATTATGAAAGTGTTTGACACTGACTCAGATCAATGAGAGATGTGTGTGTCCATCTTCCACCTAAGTCCAAAACTTCCACTTCTCTGCCACTGATTCTGAAAGTGCCTAAAGTTTCAACATTAAAAGTTCCCCAACACAAAGTTTTGCTTCTGCATATGCCCCAATACACCTCTGTACTGAGCGCTGAGTAACAAAACATCTATTCCATGCCTAAATCCTGTATAGATCCAAACATTAGGCATTCTTCTGCCTATTTTCACTTGAAGGGTGCAATCTGGTAGGACCCTTGAAAGCACACTTATCAGACTGAACTCTGCACAAAAACAAAGGCTGCAGCAGCTGCTAGCAGATCCATATTATGTAAAACTTCAATGTTTGAAGGATGTGTTCAGTGTGGGGGAGATCCAAGACCTATTCCCTGTTCTGCCTGAAGAGATTCAAATACAACACATTTACCACCTCCAAGGAGGGTGACATAATCATCACATTATGAAGCGGGGGGGCTCACCACCTGTCTGGCTGAAGCTATTCTACTTTGCAAGAAAAATATATATAAGGATTCAGGATCCACAGAAAATAGCGAGCATGACTCTCCATCTTTACAGTCACATAGTCCTTTGGGAACTATGCTTCTGATCCAAGTACTGTTCCAACTCTCTGAACCAATGAATCATGAATGATTGAATGATTGTATATACTATGGACTAAACTCAACAGAAGAGGTGAAAAACAGCCCTATCCCAGAACACCCTGTAGCCTAGTGATTAGGAGATGAGGATTCAAATCCCCAAAGATAGAGGCAGCAATTGAACCTAGGTCTCCCATATCCTGGGTGCTCTTGACAATGAGCTACTGTACACCACTGAAAGGTGTGTGTCTGGCAGGGGGGAGGCAGGAGGCAGGAAAGAGGGGGCATATAAAATCCACTCTTGAAAAAGGCCCTAAGTATCAACCTTCAGGACAGGGTTCCAGGCTGTGAATCCCAAGTGGAGATTAGTACTGAGTAAATTCTAATCCTCAAAGGGAACTTAAAAAACCCCTTTCGTAGACAAGCCTATGAACTTCACTTCATAAATCTACTGGATGCAAAAAATCATGGACTCAGTATAGATATTGGATTCACCAGGTACCTGTGAGACCAGACCTCTTACATTTCTCTTCCCCCTCCTTTCCTCCCCTACCCTTCCCTATTTTTTTGCCCTTTGTCTTCCAAATTTCCAGCTATTTCCTTTTTCACAGACAGCCTCTTTTCTACGTTGTATTACTACCACTGTAGTGTCTCCCTTACTCACCCTTAGCCTTTTTTCCCCTCCTTCCCCCCACTTCCGTTTTACCTTTTGTTTTCCTAATTTGTACCTGTTTACATTCTCACCAACATCCTGTCACGCTTTCAGCTTCTCTCATTTCTTGGAGTCAAAGACTCCCTATACCTGAAGAAAGGTGATTGCACCTGAAAGCTTGCTAAGAACTTTTTTCCAACTACTCGGTTGATCTAATAAAAGCTATCGCATCTACTCAAAGAACCTTGCCTGTCTAGTACTGAGTAATGCACTTGAGTGCTGCTCACAACTCCTAGGACTTAAAACAAGCTCCTGTGATCAGCTCTTCCTTACTAGCTCAGGCAGCTCTCAGCTCAGCATGCTGTTTTCAGATAGGAGATCCCTCTCAGGTGGGATCTCCTATCTCCATGTATTATACCAGGAGGCCTAAATCAGAGTTGTAGGTACTTCTATGGGGACCAGACAACATAAAGTTAGTTTTATGCAGGTCAAGTATTTTTTGGATCTGGGCCTTCATCCCTTATAGTCTAAAGGAAAAAAAAATAAAGATTTGGGTGCAAAAAGCACTTTGGCAGACAACACAGTGTCAAGGAACTTGTACGCTACATGATCCAATTAAAGATAATGGACCTTACAGAATCCCAAAGAATGCAACATACAGAACCTTGTATCTCAAGAAATTACAAAGAAAATTTATTTCAGGCACTACACTTCGAAAAAGATTATTCACCAGTAAGAGTAAAGAAAGTATCTTCTACTCAAAATGCTTCTTCTATCATTTTATCATCTTGTAGACAGGGTCTCCAACTTGAATTGTTCCAGTTTTATCAACACCAAAATACCAGCCAAAGAGAGGACTGGATTTGTATAAGTATTGTTCAGATAGATCACACAGACGGTAACTGCAGAGAAAAGAAGAATGTTATCAGCTGTGATAAATTAAAGCATAGTTTCAAGTGAAGTTTCCATCTTATAGTGTTGCATGAAATACAGCAGTTAAACATATACAGGTACTCAGATTCTGTGTATGTTTCAAATTATGAAATAAGGTTCCTTTCAGAAGTGCCCTATACAATGTAATGTTTAATGTTCTTGTTTTGACACAGCTTTACTAGCATAAAGTAAGTCTAAGTTAGAAATCACCATTTCTGATACTGTCTAATCTCAACTCTCAGCACGTTTTACCATTTACCAGAATACTCATGTAGACAGAGTCAAACTCCAAAGAAAAACATAGTATGAAAATAGTCTAACCAGCACACACAAACAACCCTATAATAAGGGCAGTGGAAGAAAATAAAAGGTATAGAAACATTTGAGGCCCATAATTTCAAATGATTACAAAGAGTAAAGATTTTAGTTTAAGATTTTTTTTTAAATATTAAAGTACAGCATCTGGCAACAGTAGACCACTGAGTAAAAAGTTATGTAAATTACAATGTACGGTGAATACTGAAGTGAGCGAGTTCAGTGAGATTCCTGGTGTGCCTAAAGTATCTCTCTTACATAACTATTTGCAAGATCTGTTCAAGTACCAATACACTTTCAATGTGTCTGAATGGATGCAGGAAGCTTATTTAGTTTTACAGACAGATCCAACATTTAAATCCTCTGTCCAGCACACTGACATAGGAAAGAAAGTTACTAAGGACCAAATCCAGTACATATTCTTCACACATGCTTAACTGAACTATTATGAAGTAAATTATTTATGGCAGTAACTTTAGACATACACATAGGCAATTACAAGACTGAGGCCTGATGGTATACCAATTTACATCAAGAAAGCATTATTTTATAGGGCCATGTTTACAGAACACTTGATCTCCCATTTTGGTCACCTTCATAGACAAGAGTTAACCTGGTGTTAATGAAACAATTAATGGAATGGAAAAGCTTGCATACAAAAGGAAAGGTACTTATACCTGAAAGCTTGCTAAGAATTTTTCCAACTATTTGAGTTGGTCTAATAAATAATCTAATAAAAGATATCAGATTTACCCAAAGAACCTTGGCTGATTATATTCAGACACACATGTAACATATATGCATTATACATGAAAAACCCCAAGCATCTAAGCACACACCATAAATAGGTAGATTGCAAAACCTTACTTCTGCCCCTTGTCTGTATGTATTATACAAATACATATATGTATGTATTTACATATATATCTCAAAAAGGACCTCAGTCTCATCCAGTACATGCTAGGGATCTACTCTGTGGGCAGAAGTTGGAAAGTGGATAGTGAATAAAACAGGAAATTTGCAGGGGAAGTGAGGATAGTCTCATTGTTAAGGTGGTTGAATATTCGCTTAGCAGACTGGGTTTTACCCCTGCCACTGAATTACTATATTTCTCATTTCTAGATAGAAACCAGGGCAGGGTGGCACTTGTTCAGAGAGGCATAAGCATTCATAGGCTGCAGCCTTCTTCCTTAAATGCTATGAATGGACTTTCAGAGAGGAAGAGGAAAGGAGCAAACAGAAAGGAATAAAGTAATTTAAATTTAAATGGAAGGAAAAGGGAAAGGAAAGGAGGAGGTACTGCTGAGAAGCAAAAGTAAGTTAAAGAAATCAAAGGGGAGGACTTATACAGGTAGCCTAGGTAATGGGATAAGAATCTGTAGTCTTGGTTTATTTTAAACCATGCTTAACACAGTCCAGTCTGCGGATGATTTGTTGTTCTGCAATTTTACCTTCAAGTTGGCTTTTAAAGTTTTGTTGTTTAAGAACAGCTGAGGTCAGTGATGGAACGTCCAGAGAGACTGAAGTGTTCTGCCATGGGCTTTTGTGTGACTGACTGCTTGATCTGTGTTGATGAGCAGGCACTGCTGGCATGTAGGTACATTGCAAGGCCTAGTGCCATGGTGAGAATAGGAATTAAGTAGTCTGTTGCTGGAATGACGCTGATTGAGGCGCTACCTGTAAGCCAGGACAGACTTGCACCCCAAGGCTACCTTGAGATAGTTATTTCTTTCCAAGAGGGAGGGGTTTAAGGTCGTTAATGATGTGTCCAAGGTGTTCAAGCTGGGGACTGTAGGTGACAACAAGGATTCTGTTGTCTTTGTTACAGGGTTGGTATTGTAGCTGGTTGAAGCAGGGTCTGAGTCTGGCTGTATTGATTTGAGTGGCTATAGTTTTGGGATTGCATTGTAAGTATAAGAATCCCTGCTCCAGCTCCTTATGGTGCGCATCCCACCTGGGCAGATCAGAGCAGATACAGGTGAAATGTAGAACTTTGTTGTGTAGATGATGAATCTAGTGATGTGCTTAGGATGAAAGATAGTGGCATGGATGTAGCTGTATCAGTCAGTTAATTTCTGATACAATGTGGTGGTGATGTGACTATTGTAAAGTTTCATAGTGACATCCAAGAAATGAAGATTCTGAGTTGAGTAGTCAAAAGTAAGTTTGATAGATAAGTGGAAGTTGTTAAAACCCTGGTGAAATTTATCTAGAGATTCCTTCCCATGACATGATGAAGATGTCATTGATGTACCTTAGGGATACTAGGCAGATAAGAGGGCACCCAACAGATTTCAAGGTTTGTCCTAAATATATTGGCATACTAGGGGGGCCATGCATGTGCTCATGGCAGGGTTGTTCATTTGTAGGTACATGGAGTCTCCAAGTCTGAAATAGCTGTGTGCAAGGAAAAAATGGGAGAGTGCAATGGAAACAAAAGCAGTGCCATTGTCTGGATCAACGCAGCCTAGTTTATTTAGGAAGTTTGCTGGCAGCTCCAGAGGCACATGGGAGTAGCATAGAGTAAATGGAGCCAGAAACTCCCTTTGTGATGATGCCAACACCAGAGACAATGGGCCATCTTGGGTTGTCACATTGGTAGATCTTGAATAACAAGTAAAAAGGTGCCTGGTCTGGGTTCCTGAGAGCCCAGGAAAAAAGATCCTTTTCTGTGTTTCTGGAGGTAGCATCTTTAAGAGCTTGCATAGTACCCTCTGGTATTGTTCTGTAAAACTCAGGGTTGGAATATTCTCTCTCGGTTTCCTGTGTGTGTGCTGTTTTGTCCATAGTATCAGCCAGTTTATATGTTACAACTTCAGGGTGGGCACAAACATGGAAACAACTTATGTACAGGTCAGAGTGGGGCTAGAACCCTCAGGTGGAGATGTCCTTCATCCTATGCTGCACAGAGGGCAAGTCTGTGGTAGCTTGATCATTGTGTAGCTCTGGGTCACAGAAGTATTCCTTTAAAGGCAGTAGAAAAAAGCCTTGAGATCCCCATACAGCTATACCTTCTTGAATTGTGTAGCAGGGAAGAAGGAATGACCACAAGACCGTGTGGACATTCAACAGGGCTAAGAGTTTTGTTGACCAGGTTGATGACATTGCTGCGGATTGCTGTTGGAGCATTTAAGTTTGGAAAGTTTTGTTTACTTCATCTTCTTTATGAAGGCTTCCAGTCTCAGTCTCCTTCGCCACCTACTCTTATCCCAAGTACTGCCACCCTGCTACTCCCAGCTCCACTTTTTCTCTCCCCCAGCATTACCCTCCATGCCCCAGTTTTTTCCTCCCCCACTCTGAGACATACTCAGCATCGAAAAATTCAGCCCACACCATTCAAATTTAGCAAAGCTATAAGCAACTTAAAATGGGCTTTTAAAACAGGAAATGTTTAAGAATCTTAATAACAGGTGATACAACCAGTCTGACCCATATTATTCATGCTCTTGGGTTGGGGAAGGGGAGAGGGAGAGAAAGTGTGTAAGAGGGGGAAGACGGAACCAGGCAGTAGTATAACTGAGTGGAAGGTGACCAGGGCATCAGCTCCAAGTACTGCCTATGTGTGGGGGCATACAAGCAGGTGTAGTTGCTGCTGCTCCAGCAGCAACTGGCCATACTACCAGCTTTGCCCCATGTATCGTAGCTGCCCCACATGTGGAACTGCCCTGTTATGCCTCTGCATCAAGTCCTCTTTTCAATACAGTGCACCTGTGCAGGACAAGATAGGACTGAGCCAAATGTAGACATCTTTAGGAGTGCACAATGACATGCAGCATGTATTTCAAAATGGATTTTTTTTAAACTTTGCTGGCTAACTGGCAATCATCCATATCTGCCTTGCTAACAGAAGCAAAAGATGAGACGCACTAACATATTTTTACTACCTTTTCAGTGTTTCCAGCGGTTCTTTCCTGTCCATGATCCCAGTTTCTGGATCAATAGTTGTTAAAATACACCTGAAGAGACACACAATGTTAGACCACAGAAGTTTTTTTTAACCTTTTTTTCTTCCAGTATCTTTCTCAACGTTTACCTGGGGCAACCCACCGTCCCTTTCATTTCCACACTTCCAATGCAGATTTCATCCCAGGAATCCTAAGGGAAACAAACATTGATTCAATATGTTCCAGACATACTGGCACTTAACCATTTTCCAGGACTTGATTCTAAGCATAGTTATTACTATAAAAAATAAGCACTATTTTACAGCATCATATTTTCTTATACTCCCTAAATAATAGTGTCACAAATAGTCTATTTTTTTAATTAAAATATGTTATCAATGCATTTATCCTCCACAAAGTATTTCTATCATATAATATATTGATCTTCTATCTATTAAGACAAAACAATTAAAGCAGATTTACATCAGTTAGCAGGTCAGTTGGGTCCCTAGAAGAGGTTACACTTAAGGCATGATTAACCAGTTAATCAAGTCTTAAATAGTAACTCAGCTAAATGTTCATGCAAGTAATGGCACGATAATATGAGAAATAAGCCACAAAACTATTCCAAAAACTGTGTAATAATTTTGTGGTTGGTTTCCACTGCACCTTAAATTGATTGTGGGGCAAGGTCCCTGCCATGCAGCCTGATGCCAGTTGCATAGTGGGCCTCTGGACCCCAGTGCAGTCCTGAGGTAGGGATCAACAATCAGCTGTCTGTGAACATATGGCAATTTGATTACTGCATAGTATTTACCTCCTCAAAGGCACTACAACCTGTAACAAGAATATTGGGTCTGAAGTTCTGGATTTTAACTTTTTTCTCCAGTCTTGTATTTAGATCTTCCAATGAAGCTTCTGAGATGATCATAACTGGGCTGCAGTCAGGATAGGCAATCTATTATACACAGGAACACAAACAAATCCTAAAGCTGCCATAGGAACATGTTTGTCAAACAGCCAAAGGCTGTAGGATAGGATAGTGAAAAAACAGGTAAGTGTGAACTGGTGGCCAGGGGGTCTTACACTGTTGTAGCCAAATGCTTCCTCAAGTGTAATAAACTGAAAAGTAATTTCTCCCTTTCCAGTAGAGTAAACCATTGTAAACTATACTTGGTCAAACTTTAATACTAACGTTCAATTTATGAAGGATGAATAGATTAACAACAGATGTCAGGTACTGTTATAAGATCAACAAGGTATTGTATTACAAATACTTCTAAGCATATCAGCAGAAGGTATTATAATTCCCTGGCCTTTTAGACTCTGTAACAGCAACTTAATGATTAACAACATTGATTAAACATTTATTAATCTTTTTATACATGACTTCTAAATAGCGCTTTCATATGAATTGATCTAGAATTTAAAAACATTGTTCAAAACCTTTCCAGTTTTCTTTCTGCCAGTCAGAAGTTTCTTTTGGCCTTTATAGAGCTTAGCTTTTCTTTCCATGCCCTTTGATCAGCATGAGCCTGTTGGCATGTCTGAACCTCTGCTATGGGATATTATTGCTTGTCTTTCCTTGAAATATCAAAAATGGGCCATTCTCTTTAGGTCTAGTAAGACTGAGATAAGGAACTACTAAATTACATTATTACTTTCCTATTTCAATCTACATAAATGGTATTTCTCTGTAGAGTAGATGCAATCTATCACGGGACCTGCAAAGATATTTACTCAAATAACATCAACATTAAATTATTTCCCATTCTCCTTGATCCACAAAAATGCAAGCATCTTCCTGCCCCAGCACAGCCCACTGTGCCCTATTGAGAACTCCCACCTGGCAGAAAAGAATTACTGTCTCTATGCTGCTTCCCTTGCCAGCTTTGCTGACAGCAAGTTAAGTGTAGGAGAAGCAGACAGGATAGTAGGACACTGGATTCTAACAACTGAAAGGTGCCCAGTGAGAGCACTGCTTTAGCACAACACATAGTTTCCCTGCTCACACACATTTCCCTGTTGCATAGGTGAAGAAGAGCTGCCATCGTTTCCCCAGAAGCTTTAATCGACTGTTACAGAGCTGAATCTAGCCTACTTTCTTGAAACAAAAGAAGAGAAAAGATAGGGGTATACATCACAGGGCGGGGGAGGGAGATGAAGAGGAGGGGGTTTCAGCATACACTACTGGGCAACTTGCCTTCACAAACCCCATCCTCTCATTCAGTGAAGCACAGGGAGCCACTTAGTCTTGTGTTGTACTGATTCCTCACAGAATCTCTAGTTCTCCATGTACAATAACTTTAAAAGGATTTAAAGCAAGATTTAAGCATGTAAATAATCCCAGCAATGTCAAGGGGACTACTTGTATGCTTGAAGCTAAATATGTGGTTACCACATTGCTGGATGGGAGGTTTAGGCAGAGGAAGACGCATACAGGATTTTTTGTATAAACAGAAATAAAATAGATCCTTTGCTTTCCTTATCTGTAGGTCGGAAACGAGGCATGGTATCTTTTGAATTTCTGGGCATCATAGAGGGCTCAAAGTGCACTAGTCGATATGGCTCTGTAGTCAAGAATGTGGTGATCCATTCAGCTGCCTCATCTCCACAGTCTCTGCCTTGGACATCAAATCCAAAGATCCTAAAAGGTTACAAAAGAAATCAGAGATTTAGCCTGAATGCTGAGAATTCTCATATACTTATTTTCATCTCTACACTTAAAAGTTAAACATCCCACTATACAAATGAAAAAAAAATGTAGTAAATGGGCTTTCTGGGGGACAATAAGCTGGAAAATTTAGATTTTGACTTAAACTCAGGAACCACCAAAACTCCCTACAGGCCTACTTATAAAACCACTCCCTCTCCCCACCCCACAAGAGCCTACAATCAAGCACATGCAATACTACTTCCTTGCAGTCAGGTAACTAGAATACTAGAAAGTCTTTTGTATTACTGAATATAGTAATATATTGTCTCTCCTCTTACAGACTGAACAAGACTGGTACGCAGACAAAGTTAACCGGCACAAAAGGTACTGTAACAAATGGGTACTGTGTTTCTCGTTGGTTTTAAAAAGAAAAAAAAGTATTTTGCACGAATGTCAACAATACAAAGAGAAAAATCTCTATCCAAAACAACACCAATTTAGATTAAATTAAATTAAACAAGGGAATGACAACTTCAAACATAACAGCTAAAGTTAACATTTGTTAATCCCAACCCTTGTCATTAAAGGAGTTTTGCCTCAATTTTTAGAGGTAAGATTCAAACCAAAACTGAAAGATTGTCACCCAAAGACCTTGTCAGCTGAACTTATGATATCAAATAATATGTAAGACACAGAAAATTTAATTTGTTGTTTCATGTCAGCGAGTGGGGTAAGGCTGTAACATGGTTTACTTTTAAAGAAGCTATTTATATCCTCTTTGAATTCTACATGCTCAGTCAAATCAGCTAAAAAACAGGTTTGCCAGTTCAAGAATAATACTGAAGTTTATGAAGGATCTCAAGGTATGCAAGGCTTCATCACATAAACTGTCCCCAAAAGTGAGCTGTTCTAGAAGACTAACATTTCCCCCGACATGAAAATACAAAAAACAAAAAATAAGGGATATTTGAAAATTCTCTCACAGAGTTCCCAATGAGTTCTAATGTCTGGTTCCATACATTATGGAATGAGATACTCTTTCTATAGAGAGGTGAGGATTTAATATGGAAAGTAACTCTACAAGGTAGGAAATGCTAACAGCAGACCATGTTTCCAGCCATGTGGCAATACATTTCAATGACAGTCATTACTGGCGGTGTTATCTTTGAAATGGTCATTTATATCTAAAAGGAAGATAAAGTTCATTAAAGCCACAAGAAATTCTCAGACAACAGCATTAAGCATAGTGGATAAATAAACAGAAGTTTTAGAATATTTCAACCTTTTCTACCACCATGTTCATATTCAACTTATTTCTACTCAGACTGCTAGCTATATGTATGCTCCTGAGAAAGCTTTATTTGTTTGTTTATATATACACACACACACACACACACACACACACACACACACACACACACACACACACATATATATATATATATGAAAACAGGGCCAGAGGACTCCTATGCTGCTTTTAAGGCTGGCAAGTCATTGTGTAGAAAATGTGTGTGTACATACACATATATACACACACACTTACTACAAGATGACTTGCCAGCCTTAAAAGCAGTACAAGAGCCCACTGGCCAAGTTTTTCTAAGTTAACAAGTTATTTCAGGTAAAACAACTGAAATGCATCAAAACAGCCTCCACTATTTAACTGCTACATTCATCCCCCTCACCGGGCCTGCCTCTCACCCACTGACTCCTCAATTCACGTCTTCACTGACTGCCTATCTTACTTGAAGACCAGCCCAGCCTCTGGCTGCTTTACTTTTCATTCCATCCAGGAAGAGCACACACCAACTGCAGAAACTTCCTCAGCCTGACGAAAGATTTTTAAACCCGAAAGCTTGCTAAACATATTTTTCCAACTATTTAAATTGGTCTAATAAAAGATATCAGATTCACCCAAAGAACCTTGTTTGCCTCAAAACAGCCTGACATTCTGAAAGTTCTGAGCACGTACCCCCCGTAAATCAAGGTATGCCAAATTAGGCATCCAAAATAACAGTAACCAAAGTTAGTTACTGTTAAAAATTTTGTACCCCATGCTGAAATCCATTTTTTACATCCTCAATGGAGAATCTTTTTGCCATAAACATGCTATACGGTTGTCCTGTGCTGCTACATCTCTACTTAAATTCATACATGGCAAGGGTGTCAAAGATACAGCCCTATCATCCAGCTCACAGAGCTGCCTGCCACATGTAGCACACACTGGCCCTGGCCACTTACACTGCATGCAGCAAGGAACTTGTCTGGCATGGGCCAGAGCAGTCGGGTGAACTGGATCCAGACCAGGAGTAGTGAGCTAAGCTGAGCAGAGCAAGTGCTGTCTGGAGCACCCAGCAGCCACAATGCCTCCTGCCGGTCAGACTGAAGGTTGCAGCCCTGGAGCATTCCAGGGCTGTGGTGCTCACTCTGCCCAATGTGCAAAACAAAGTATTTATCCCTCATCTCATTCTTAGAAATGGCTGACCCATTCACAAAGCTTCAACCTTAGGCAGGTACCTGGCATGGAAATTTTCAGTCTAAGCCATTTACGTGTAGCAAAGTTATAATGGAATGTTATCTATTAGGAGTCAGGAGACCCAAGTTCTCTTCCTAGATGTACCAGTTGCTCACAAATTGACCTCTGGCAAATCAGTCCCTACAGCTCATTTTCTGTGTTTGCAAAATGGGGGGGATGCTTGCTTCTGAAAAGTCCAGAGGTATATAAAAATATATGGTACTACATAATCGCTCATTGTTTAAAACTATAATTTATAGCTGTTAATTACTTTTAAATCTTTTTCTAATGTTCTATCAAATTTTGAAAAATCAAATTTCAGAAATTTTTTTTAAGCTAGAACACTTTTGATCAGACTGAATACACACAAATTAACATTTTGTTTAAATAACTATTTTTCTCCATACTTTTATGGTGTGTCATCGCTGCCAATTTGCATTTCTCATGTAAACAAAAAAGCTGATTTACATTAGTCAACAGTAGTTTCCACAGCAACTTATTTATATGCAGAGCTAGCAACCACAGTTCTTTATATACTTGGTGTTTTCTTTAGTCACTAGAAAAAATGGTAAGCTATTTTGCCAATCAAATAACAAATATTTATCAACATGGCTGGGTAGATTCATAACATTTAGAACTACCAAAAGACATTTGAAGGTGAAAAAAGCATCCTCTTTTCTCCTAGGTACTCACCTTTTCCCAAACGGGATTCATTATAAAGGTAAAATATTTTGTCACACTAATGCTAACTTGCCAGTTGCATGTCTATGATGATGCATATCTTCCTGAAAATCAAGAAGCAGCTATACGCATTACCAAGATTTTCAGAGGCACCAGCCAGGCAAACAAAATGCAGAAAATAACGTAAAGCCACATGGTAGTGCCAGAGTGATGTTGTAGCTGTGACAGTCCAGGAAATATGCAAAGCAAGGACTTCTGTACATGATACTTTTTTTGTGAACCAACTACATAGTTGAGATAGACAAGCTTTTGAATGCAATGTATTTTTCCATGGGTCAGACCTGAAAATCACCTCAGACCTGCATCTCCTTCTGCACTTCAGGTCAGACCTGAAGAAGAATGCACTGCATTTGAACACTTGCCTGACTCTATCACAATTATGCAGTTAGTCCAATAAAAGGCAGGAGCGTGTGAAGCAGGCTCTATTCAATTCAGATTTGGCCCGAATCAGGGATAGCGATTCAATTCGTTGATTCGGATCACTGTCCCTGATTCGATTCGGCCGAATCTGAAGATTTGATGCTAATTCGGAGAATCAGCTATTCGGACATAGACACAGTTTTAAATGTTTTTTCTACGTACCTCGAGGTACCAGCGTGGCTTGTGAATGCCGTGATGGTGGGGCACATGAAGCGTCCCACAGGAGTGAGGCGAGGGGCCTTCCATGTGCTCGGCAGCAAACCCGGAAGTTCTGCGTCTGCTGGGGAGTGCACTGGGGGGCCTCCCCGCACCTCCCCAGCTTGGCGATCAGTCACAGGGGGACCCCAGGTGCCCCCCACAGACCCAGGAGACACCAGTCACTGAGCTGTAGGGTGCGGGGTGGCCCCCTGTGTGCTCCCTGGCAGACCTGGAATTGGACCAAAAGTGCTTCTGGTCTACTTCTAGGTCTGCTGCAGAGCACACTGGGGAGCCCCCTGTGCTCCTATGGGATGCTCCATGCACCCCAGCATCGCAGCATTAGCCGCCTGGTACCTTGAGGTATATAGAAAAAATGTTTAAAGCTCTATGTCCGAATCGCTGGATCTTTCCAAATCTCTCCAAATCGATTTGGAGGGTTCCAATTCAATTCAGAAAGATTAAAGGGTCCTCTGATTCAATTCAGATTCAGAGATTCGGCCACCGAATCGGGCCGAATCGAATCAGGGACCAAAGCTTCGCACAAGCCTAATAAAAGGCATTGCCCACAAAAATCCTTGCCTCTTAAAGACACGTGAGTAATTCTGATATTTATACTAAGGCTCTGAAGATCATAACTTATTTGAGAGATCTACTATATGGTCTTTAATATTTTCTCTTCTGCAGTAAGTGGGTTTATTTAATAGATAGAAAATAAGTACATTTTATCCTTTTGTACCTGCAGTTATGCACTTGATTTTTCCTGGAAAGTTCAACAGGAACACGCAGCTCCTTCATTTCTGGTGCATTGAGCGTTAAGTAGCCATTGTCACAGCTTACAGAAATCAGCACTAGCCGAGGCTCCTGCCGACCAGTGACCATATGTCCATCCTCTTTAATTACAAGCCAAAACCTATAGTTTAAGAAAAGGAGAGGAATATATATATATATATACACTTACATCACAAATGTTACATTGTGCTTATGCCATATCATCAATGTGCAAAGAACTAGGTGCAGATATAGAGAGAGATTCCCTGCCTCATAGAGCTTATGCATTTTCTCCTGCACTGTTCAAGTTCCTGATTCCTGAAGAATCCGATTCTTCCCTCAACCCTCTTTTGTCCTTACTCAACACAGTGATGTCCCTCAGGAAAAGCTTCATTGGACAAGTAGAGAAAATGGATAGAACTGAGAATCTACAGCACAAAAGAATTTTATCAGAAGTTTCTTACTAAGGAACTTACTGCCAGATTCCATACTAAGACAACTGCATCCACACATTTAAAATATAATATACACGTATTGGGCAGGTCCAGACATGTATGGATATTTGGTTCCCTGGGGACAAGTAGCGGTGGTGCACCTTGTGCCACCACTTCTTGTCCCTGGGTAACGCTCATGCCACAAGTGCTTTGGTGCGCAACAAATTGCCCTGGGTGGGGTAGGGGAGGCTGGGGCCAGCCATGCTGGCCCCAGCAACCTTATCTGGGGGCCTCCAGGGCTGCAGCCATGGCGATTCTGCCTCACGGAGCCTGACTGGCAGCAGAGCGTGGCTCCGGGCAGCCTGGCTCTGCTTTTCAGCAGCATGCGCTGGCTGAGTGTGCATTGCTCTGGTTTTTTTTCCACAGTTTTTTTTTTGACCCCTGAATATCCAGGGGTCAAAAAAAGCCACGGATAAAAAAAACCCAGCAACCAATCCTGACACAACACAAGACATGACACCCTAAATTGCCACAGATAAAGCAGGGAAACTATGGCAGCCAACATCCTGCTTCTAGAAACAGTTGCTGTGGCCCCTGCTATACATTACATCGGGGTAGGCAACGTTTTTTGGCCAGAGTAACGAAAAAACCACAATGTCCACCTTGGAAGGTGCCGGAGTGCTGACATGCTGGAGCCCAGAGCAGCCTCCTGACCACGGCCAGCCCACAGAGCCCAGTCGGCTTGCAACAGGGCTTGCAGCAGGGCTTGCAGCCTCCCAGCTGCCTGCTGGGAGCAGCCTGGACTCTGTGGCTGGTAGCAGCTGCTTAGAGCCCGGGCTGGCAGTAGTGTGCCGAGCAAGATGGCCTTGCGTGCCACGCTTAGCACGCGTGCCAGGGGTTGCTGACCCCTGCATTACATATAGCATGCAATTCATTTGTTTATTCTGGACTAAATTTAGACTGGCCACATGTGCAAGGTAAGGATCACACAATTCCCTGGTGAATCATGCACCAAATTTAGACCGGCCACATGTGCAAAGTAAGGATCACACAATCCATTGGTGAATCATACACTAAATGTAGATTGGCCATACATGCAAAGTGACTGTCATGCCCTAAAAAAGGATGCTAAGAAGAGCCAACCAGCTACCAAATAAGTGCTTGAAAAAAAGTGGAACAACTCTCCAGCTGGAGGGTTTCTAGCCAGCTTTCATTTGAACCTAGGGTTAGTGTTAGCGGATGGTTTGTGGGGGGAATATAGCCACCCCGCCCAACACCACCCCTGTCCAAGCCCCCCGCCTCCCCAACACTGCTGAGCCTGCCCTAGTGCAGCCCACAGCCAGCGTTCCCTCTAAGCGGCGCGGCGTGCACGGCAGCACGGCATGAGCGCACCTGCACGGCCGTGCACACCATGCCACTTAGAGGGAACGCTACCCACAGCCCACAGCGGTGCAATGCCTTAAGGCAGCGGTTCCCAGACTCTGCCAGACTGCACACGGCCAATTTAAAAGTACCGCCAGTGCATTTTTCAGTTCAGCCTGAAGGACCACCAGCACAGCGTTGTCACAGACAGTCAGTCTAAGAAATCTGTTCACCTGCACAACTGACAGGTTGTCTGCGCACCCCTGGCGGTACCTGTACCATGGCTTGGGAACCGCTGCCTTAAGTGGGCATTGGTAAAACAAAATGAATACGTTTGGCCAGAAGATGTATAGTACAACCCCCAATTTTCTGTCTGGCCCACCTCACCCCGCCCAAGAGGTGCTCTACCCCTGTTTGAACCTGTGGCGGTGCCCCCCACCCCTCCCCTGGCTGCAGAGGGGGGCACCAATCTGAGCAGGGAGGGGGATCCCTCCCTCCCGCCCGCGGCGAGCCCCCCTGGCCAGGCGCCCGAGCAGCAAACCCCGCGCACGGGGCCGGGCGGCCCCCGGCGCTACCTGTCGCGCAGGTCCCCGCTGCGCAGCCCCAGCGCGGTGAGCT